GAACTTGTGCTGCTTCAGCTTAAACGCCCTCATCCAAGCAAGCTTGTTTCGGGTGCTTTACCTCCCAAGGCCAGCCGTAGCCCTGTGAGCCGCTTCCAGCACCGTCTTTCCCCAGGGTGAAGGCTTCCTTGCAGCTAGCGCAAAGCCCAGACCGGGCAGATGGCTTTGGCAGGCTGTGATCTGAAAATGCTGCCCTTCTAGCAAGCGTGCTCATGAAGAAATACACGCGCATACAGACGGTTTCATCCGTTCCTCTGTTGCTGCTAGGCTGGCAAAATTACCTTCATGGCATCGCTGTCCTGTGGGCATGAACAATAAACTGCAATTTGCATATTTTGAGCAGCTTTCGCCCCAGCTGGGCTGTATCTGGCTGTGTTAAGTTTTGACTTTTGCACACCCCGTGAGGGGTTTTTCTGATCCTTTGAACTCTTCATTTATGAAATGTAAATTGTTTTATTTTGAGCACGATGCTGGAACCTGCTGGATCTGAGCAGTGGACCTGGTTCTCCGGGGATGGGGAGCTCTGCACGTGGTGAGTAACACCAGTTCTGCAGCACGAGAAACTCAGATTAAAAAAGCAAGAAAGATTCCCACCGCGGAGATGAGGGTAAATGCAGCGACTTTGTGCACGTTCACGTTTCGCTTTCGTCCTGAGTAAGGTGATGTGTGTCTTACTGACTAACGTCTTCTCCAGGAGGAAGGGCTGCACAGTTCTTCCAGATTTTTCCAGAGTCAAAGGTGTGCACGGTTGGGTTTTTTTGGGTTTTTTTGGTGTGGGGTTTGGGGTTTTTTTGTGTGTGTTTTTGTTTTGTTTTTTTAATTTTCTGTTTGAAGTTTGTAGGGATTCACAAACCTTAATTAAAACAAATTAGGGGAAGGGAAAAAAATATTTCAAGGATCATGACTGCTTTACCCTGTATGTAAAATAACGATGTCCTGCTCCAAACAGAGTTTTTTAGCAGCTGGTCATGCAACCAGCAGAGGATAAAGTTGCATGAAATCAGTATGATGTAGTTACCAGGCTCCATGTGCAACGTTTGTCTGTGTAACAGACGCCTGCAATGCAGCACCTCATCTTTTTGGGGAAAGGCTGTCTAGTTAACACAAGTCCTGTGTGTTCTCCCTTAGGATGGGCAGTAGTTTGCCTTACACAGAAAGCTTTTGGCAGCACCAGTACTGCAGAAACCTCCTTCCCCCCTCCCAGGCTTGGTTTGTGATGGCTACAAACTAGTGATTGCTCCTGCAATTCGAGATGTCGCTGCATGAGGACGTGGAAAAGAACTAGGAGATTTGAGGGACGTGCACTAGGTTTTGCAGTGGGAGCATCCCTCATCCTTAAACAGACAACAGACACCTTCGGCGCAAAGGGAAAATTCTGATTTGTAACAGTAGAGATGACTTTTATCAGTTAATCCACAGGAGTTCAGCATTTCCCCGAGCGTGCACCGATATCTGCATCTGGCAGCTGTTAAATAAGCTATGTACACTTATTGTAAAACTACACGTTACGCATAGTAGCTGCTTGGAGTATTTCTAACTTTGACTGCTGTAAATTAAGTATTTTCCAGGATATTCTATTTCTGAATTTGAGCAACTGATGCATTTCAGTTGATAAATACCACTTTCTATTACAGTAGCAGGCCTTGCAAGCAGAGCTGTAAAGGTGCAGCTCTGCAAAGCCAGCCCAGGGGTACAGGGGCAGTAGTGGATGCTGCGGCCG